AACATATTCTACCTTTGGATTAATAAAATTGTTTGAAGAGTATATCACTTTTATGCTATTTTTTCCATGTGCTTTGTGTGCTGCATTCAGAGAACTGCTTATCCTGCATGATTTTTTTTTATTTTTATTGATTTATTTTATGTGCGTACCGTCAAATCGGATCTGAGTGGCACAGGAGGCAATTGTTCCTCTGGTGGATTTGCACCGCACACCTCTGGGATTGCAGTGCAGTTTCCTGCCACTAGGCCACCAGAGCTCGCCAGGACTGGATATTTAATAAACGTCTTGAGTTCCATCTGACCTGCAGATGCTATGAGTCAGTCATCTTGCACTTGATGGTACCTAACAGCAACAACAGAAATTCAGCAGGGTGATAACATCGGAAGACTATTGGTCAAAATGGAATGCTTGCTAACATACCTTAAGTTAAAAACGAATGTGCACATTGGCATTTTGCTTATAATTTAAAAGGAATCCGAGCTGAAAGGGAGTGAGTGACCCCCTTCATTGGTCTCGTGTAAAGGTAGTAGCTGTTTCTCTTCAACCAACCAGTTGAAGTATGAACCGTAGAGGGAGATGACTCAGCATCCAGTTGCAGCTGAAGTTAACCTACTGTGTGGCCATTTTCAAAGACAGTCACTAACTTGAAAGACCATGAACAAATAATTAGAAGTAAATGCACAACACGATCCTTCCCGCCTGCTTAAGGTTCTGTTCTAGACTAACGGCTCCTCAGTGACAGTCTGTTATGAGGAAATAGGAACTGTTACAATAGCTGCAGTATATAAAATTATTTTAAAAACAAATGGCAGACTTTGTGAAATAGAGCTCCTTGCTTCTGCCTGAACCTTGCCTGTGCAAATACTAGCAGGGCTGCCCTTCAGCAGAACCAACATCCTCATCAAATTTGCTGCCTGTTTGTGTCCCAGCTCACCTGTTCCCCTGAGAACAAAGCCGTACCTAATTTTGCATGCACTGATGAGGTGAATGAGTTATCAGAACTTGCCTCTTTCTTGTGTGCTGTTGAATGGGATCCACCTGGCACAGGAAGAGGTTGCCCCTCCTCCAGCAGAGTGTCTGGTGAATTTGGACCACTTGGATTTGGGATTGCAGCACAGCTTCTTGCCACTAGGCCACCAGAGTGCTCCAAAACTTTTTTTATAAAGTTACAGAACTAAACTCTTCTCCTCAAGGTAACGAGGAAAGGGCGGATTGAGTTGGAGGTCAGTTAAGTGCAGAACCGTGTGAAGACTGCTCTTGAATTTACTTTGCAGCCAAGCAACTTCCAGTTCTAGTTAACTTTCATTGTCTGGCTGCTTCTCACATGGAGCCTGGTCACTTGCCTGCCTCTTCCCAGTGGCTGGGACTTTCCAGAGTCTCTGCTGCTTTTAAAACATTTTTTTTTTAGTCCAGCTCTGGTATGCCTTCACTTCCCTTTGCCTCAAACCTCCAAGGCTCCCTCTTGGTAGTTTATGTGAATTGGTTGGAAAAAATCATCTGCTACAACTATACTCATTTTTTTTTAATTTGGTGGGTTTTGTATGCTCATATTTTCTTTTTTTTCATATTCTTTTTTTATTATTAATTTTAATGAAAGTTTACAGAGACTTGGATTTCCATTCATTGTTGCACTTTTCTCCCTGTCCACCCCCTGCCCCCAGTTCACTCTTCTCTTTGAAAAAGTAAAAGAAAAATTCTTTCGTTGTTATAAAATCCCTCGCCCCCAGTCCGCTCCACCATGCAGCCTTCGTTCTGGACTTCTGTCTTGACAATAATACCTTATATAGCCCTTTTAAACAGTTCTCGCCCTCATCTATACTTATATATTCTTAACCTAGCAAACATCTTCATATTTCTTTGTTAGAGGAGTAGAAATGACAGCTGAATGAATTCTTGTGAAAACGGTAAAGTCTCAAAGGTCTGAGCAAGGACAAGGTAGGTTGCTAACCAAGCCCGGCTTCCTGTGAGCGGCACCAGCCTTCTGTGAGGCGTAACTGCACACCGGTTTCCTCTGTCTTGGTGTCTCCAGTGTATGTCGCCATTCACTGCCTTCATCTGTCAGCGTGTCTCAAAACTTGTCCTCGTATCTCGCAGCTTTACTGTTAAACAACTCGGCAGTTTTAGCTTAACAGACTTTATCTCGGAGGACAACCCTGCTGGACAAGAAGAGAGTTAAATGTTTGGCTGAGGGGAGGTGGGCACAGTGCTGTTGGCATGGTTACGATCACCTTGTCGTTCGGTGGCTCTTCACATGCTCTGCCAATGCTGGTGATTAACGGGGGGGGGGGTACTGGGGGTGGGACTGCCCCACTCACATCTGAGAGGTCAAGAGTATTTTGTCCTTTGCATGTAATAATAATACGGACTTCCTGATTATCTCTGGGAGGAAAATCAAAGGATTATAGTGTCTTAGCCATTGAATTTGGAACGTTAGTTTTCTCATCTGTCAAGAAAGATTAGTCATTCATGCCTTAGGAGATGGATGTGAAGTGGTTGAGGATGAGATGTCTTTCAGATTAGCACAGACAGGATTTGATGGGTTCTTTGGGATGTAGCCTGCCCCTCTGAGGCCAGGTGGAGGAAGGGGCTACTCAAGACAGGGCAGCACCAGCCACGGGACAGTGACAAGAAGTATCTTTAAAGTTGGTTCCGTTTGCCAGTTAGGTGTGAGTTCCTGATACTGGTTCGTGATTCGGAAGACACATCCGCTTTGAAGAAATGTTACAATTATTGAAAAACTGAAATGGGAAAAACTAAAACTAGGTGTCCCTGAGATACCCCTTTTAGAGTATTGTTTATTTCATGTTGTGGGGGTTTGTGATGAGGGGAGAAGGAAGAAGGAGCCCCATGTTGTTGTTGTGAGGTGCCACCGAGTCAACTACAGCTCAGTGATCCTATGAACAGTAGCTCTGAACCCTGCCCTGAGCCATTCTCACCATCTGTCCCCACGACCACAGTCACTGTGTCAGTCCATCTCCCCAGGGTTGTCCTCTCCTGCCCTGATTCTTAGTTATTTATTTTAGATATGTAACTTCAGTAGAAAAAAAAGGTGAAATTCAGTATTTGTGTTTCCAGTAACATACACTGGGAGCTCTGATGGCTTCTTGTGCCTTCACCTTGAAACTGGCCCTTGGCTGATTCACCATGGATTTTCACAGGCAGCTAATCACATGGGAGGAGACTGCCCATCCTTTTCCCTCAGAGCACCTAGTGGATTTCAATCGCATGCATTTGGGATTGTATCACACCTCCTTACTCCCAGGCTGCCGGAGGTCCCTTTGGTGGCTTGTAGAGTCATAGACGACACATAGTGACCCTATGAACAAAAGTCTTGAACACAGAACTTTCATCTTTTTTCCAGGTGTTTTTCCCCCCTGAGGGTATTATTACAACTTTTACTTTTTAAAAAATATTAATTTTAACGAAAGTTTACAGAGACTTAGTGTTTCCAGTCA